ACCAGCTTTTTTGGATCGCTTTCATACATCAATACTTCTTGTTCCATCTCCAGCTTTCTTGCATTGCTGCTTTCCTTCATGTATCTAACCCAGTTCAACTTTCCTTGTCTGTATAAAGGCCATCTTGTTATTTTTAACATGTAGCTCTGTGGTGGTTGGTGGTGGATGGCCCAGGTTCATCTTTCTTCTGAGCTTTTGTAGCACGGACCGCCTCTGTGCATCTTTCTCTTATTTTTGGTATTCAGAGCACAATCTTTTTAATGGCAAGAAAAAAAAATAAATCTGTATCTATTGTTTGCTTCATGAGTGGTAAAATTTTTATATTTCAAAACAACAAAGTCCAAAGATAAGAATACTGATGCACAATCCACATATCTGCATAAATTACACTTTGTCTCTTTGTCTATTATTTTCTTTGAATTTTTTTAGACCCTGTTCTCCACATAGTGACACTAACACGCTTTCTCTGTTCTTTCATTTCACACAGATGTAGGGCAGTGTATGAGCTCGTGGCAACTGTGGCTCTGATGCTTTGGGGCAGTGCTTTACTCCAGGTCAAAGGTCAGGCTCTGATATAAACCCTATGTGACTTGTGCATATTACCGCTGTATTGGTGATGTAGAAGAAAGCAACTAATGCAAAAAAATATATATCTTAAAAAAAAAAGTCTTAAAAGAGCCCATATGACTTGGACTTCAGATGTACTGTTGTTGCAATGTTGTTTCCTCATCAAAAACATACCTGGAGTTTTGTTTCAATCACACAATTAGCACATAAATCCTGCATATTTAGGCTGAGTTCTTCTCTAAAACAGAAAACACTCCCACTTTGTGATGTCATGTGGTAATCCAAGAAGAGCTCCACTGTGTTTTGAAAACCCATACACCTTCACTAGAATAATCTAGATAATTTCAGCCCTGGAATTGTCAAAGCAAAAGGTAAAAAGTAACTGTTAACATGAAAATTACGTGACATCAGAAGGTGGAACAGAGGGTTACTTATACATGAAGCAAAACACAACACCAGGTTCGTTTTTGAGTAAGTAACAGCATTATAACATGACTTAAAGCTCACAGGAATCCATTTTGTGTAATATTAGGGGCTCTTTTTTCAATCAATCAATCAAACTTTATTTATAAAGCGCTTTTCATACAAAAATGTAGCACAAAATGCTTTACAGTGATTAAAAACAATCCCGCATTTCCATCCACCCACCTACCAACCCAACCCCCACACAACCAAAACAACCCAGACATGCACACACACACATGCTAAAATACATCAAACCGCACATAGTAAAATGTGAGGCTGAATACAGGCGAACCAGTTGAGAAAGCACCATCAGAGGAGCCGTCTACATCAGGAGCAGAGAGACGTCCACCACCACCAGGAACCAAAACAGGGGCCAGGGGAGAGATGAAGCCCAAAGCACCAACCCTCCACCAGGAGCCCACAGGACAGACCCAGCGGCCACAGCCGACCTCCGCTCCTGATGCTAACTTTTCTAATTTTCATGGTATGATGAGATTTAACTACATGTGTAAAAAAAAAACACTCCATTTTGTTCTTTTTCCAAAATTAGGCCCTATGTTCTCATACTTCCTTTATCATCAGTTTCCATCTGATTTTATCCCCATTTCTCCCAATTTGGTCATCAATTACACCCAATCTATTATTCATGCAAGCAGCCATTTGAGCAAATACTCTGGACCACGGGGTCTTGCAGGAGGATAAGGATTAAATGAAATTATGGGGAAATGTAGGAACAATGAATAATGGAAAAAACAGATAATAATAGACCTGGTTCAAGTCATGGAAACAGGAAACGGCCGTTATCTGTTTTTGTTTTTTGGGGTTTTTTTTCCCTCATTATTCATTTAAACACAAAATCGAAATTATCATTTTTTCTTTTCTTTTTTTCCCCAATTTTTTCTTATTTTTGGTTTTATTTTGAAAAAGGAATGGAAGAATAATAAACTGATTCTATTTGACTGTTGAATTTGAGAGCTTGAACATATTTGTTGAAGATTTAAAAGGTGATTTTTTTCTTCTTCTTCTTAAATACTGAATTTTAAGCACTTTGAAAATGTACACTTAAAATATCATCAACTGACACTCAGAATAAAATAATTAAAGCATGTTTTTTTCCAGTAAAATAATTAAAAGTGAGAAATTCAACGGCATTTAAAATAAAAATCTGATGAACCAAATTATCTTCCATAACATGTCCATCTTTAACACTGTGTTGTGTTATTTTGTGGCCATACATACACTCACATGGGTTAGTAGAAAGAGATAATAAAGCTGAATCCATAGAGGAAATAGATGAGGTTCGTCATGTGGAAGAAGGCAGTCTGTTGCGTATAATATTGACGTCTGAACTTCCCTGGGGTCTGTGCTGTAAGTGGTGGCCTAAGCCTCTATCTGATCTAAAGTCAGGAACCATTTCAGGTTTTGGAGTGAATGTCCATAACTTGTCCTTGACTATTTACCCACTCGATAAAAGCGCAGTCTTGCGTGCAGTTCCAGTTCCCTCGGAGATTCTTCTATAAGTTCACGGTGTAAAAATAGCTCCAACAGAATCGCTAATGCTAAAGATACGGTTTCATGTGTGGTGTCTGGAGATTTACGTAAGATTTTGAACAATATTTTGACTAAAAAACCTTCTGCTTTGGAAATCCATCTCTCTTCATTGGTGCAAAGTGCTGAACTAAAAACTGCACTTAATTACTCAATAAATTATGCAGTGTTTGGTATTAGGCAGATTGGCTACACATTTAACAAGGCACGTGTACTGTTGTGTTGTTAGCACCCACAACGCACAACAACGAGGTTCACATTTTAACTTTTAACATTAAAGATGCACCGATACCGATCCTGCTGTTCAATATAGGATCCTGGAAAATTTGCTGGATTGGGTATCAGTTCCTGGTTGGATCATTTATTGGATGTAATAAGACTATTTAGTGTCAAATGTTGGATTGGAATGCTTCATTTTTATTATTATTATTTTTTTTTTTTTACTTTTATTCATACAATGTTGTTCAGTACTTCTTTGCTGGATAAATAAAACAACTGGATCAATTGTGTAGTAAATCTGTTTCGATGTAAATAAACTGCCTTTTTTGATCCCTACACTAGTTATCAGTTCATATCAGACATCCACGGATACCAAAAGCCAAAGTATCAATATCGGTATCGGAACTGATATATTTGGGTTGGTGCATCTCCACCAGGGTGACCAGTTTTGAGTCCTGTGTCCCATGTCCCAGCAGATTTATCCAAAACCAGCGATTTGTCACAATTTTATACAAGAAATGTCCAAGCTGTCCCTGTTTTTGACCAATTTGATCCCCTCCAACAGTAAAGAGGAGGATATGTTGTCATTTGTTTAGCTAAAATACAGAAAACTGTGCTTGAAAACGACCTAAAGTGAGCCAAACATCCCTTTGATTTCATACTGACCCACAACTGAGTCGAGAATGGACTATTTATGGAATTAGATTCTTTTTTCAGACATAGTTTGTTTTTATACCTGACAGTTTTGACTGTTTACTGTGGTCTTTCTCAGAGTGGTCAACAAGACAACAGCATCATCTGCAGTCCGACTTCCTTAGTACAGTATCATAGGTGTGTGAGAGTCAGGTATGAAAACAAACTCTTGGGTCTAAAAAGAGAACCTAATAACATAAATTATCAGAAAACCAAATGAACCTCATTGGGCAAGAATGGACAATATTACGCACTCTTTTCACAATTTTATCCCAACCTGGGTGTGTCCCAGTTTTCAGTTTTGAAAATCTGGTCACCCTAATCCCTACTCAACATTAATATTCACAGTGTTGTAGTACTCGAGACTGGTCTTGGTCTCTAGACCGGCCTCGAGATGCTTTTTTTACGGTCTTGGTCTCGTCTCGGACTCAAGCACATTTGGACTCGGTCTTGTCTCAGTCTTGATGGTGCTTGGTCTCGGTTTTGTCTCGGACTTGAGGTCTGACACATGACGAGTGCGATTATATTTCATTACGGCCGGTGAATGTGTGGAGGCTGCTAAATATCACTGTAAAACCTGTAAGATAATGTAACTATAAATGTTATCAACTTGAAAAAAACTCATTTGATTAACTTTCAAGATATTTTCTGTTAAGTGCCAGTGGAAGCGGGTTTAAAGAAGGGGTTCTCAAACTGTGGGTGAGGATCCAGAAAAGGGGCACAGAGTGTTTCAGTGCAGAACAGTTTGCTTGGCTAATTTTAAGCCTAAATAAACATTAATCAGATAAAATGAAGATAGATTTATAAAAAACATTGATAAATGTGCTAAAAAAAAACTGTAAAATGCATCTAAATGTAGGAAATGACAAAGCTGGTCTCGATTTGGTCTTGATGGGCCTTGGTCTCGGTTTTGTCTTGGTCATGTCTCGGTCTCGGTGGTCTCGGACAGGTCTTGGTCTCGATTAGTGCAGTCTTGTTAACACTAAATTCACAATATAGAACAGTACTTCAGGTAGATACTTCAGTCCTGCTTGCTTAATATCTGAAGAAGAAGAAGACAGAAGACAAACTTTTGTACAATTATTTTGATCAGGAAGACAACGCTGGAGTTTTACTGTGATCAATACAAGCGTCCATGGTCTTATTTAGGTGTTTGATTTTCAACAAAAAGGTGAAAGTGACTGAAAACTGAAAAACGAATGGCTAATGCTTGTGTTTTTTGTCTGAGAGCCTCGTTTAAGACCACAAATCATCTCACCTGTTGTAGTTCCAAACCAAGTCGGCTCTTTCTGTTCAGATTGTGGTCAAATAAAGATCAGATCGAGTCTAAATGAGTAACAACTTCTAACCTCACAGTCACAGTAAGAACAACAACCTACTTTATTTTCTCGAAGTTGTTTTTTTGTCTATAGGCTCACGACCTGCATGATTCCATCGCTCCCTCCACAGGCAGCTCCAGTAGTCTACAGGGCATACTCTAGTCTTCCTCCCTCGTCCTCATCGCCTGCCTTATAACCTGACTTCTCATTATCCTCCACCGCTCTCTGGGGTCCATCACGCTGCCATCATTATTGGGGTAGAGCTCAAAACCAGCTTCTTCTGCCTCTCTTCCACACTTCACGGATCTAAAGACAATGAGCAGGAGATTACGGAATCTAAGTAAGTGGTCTTAAATGTGCGCAGTAAAGAAATAGACTGAATAACCGGTATTTCCCTTAAATCCTTGGTGATGTTGTCGCTTTGGCGTGTTCCACAGTATCACAACAAGTGTTTTTATTTCTCAAAACTACCACAAAAACATTATATTATTGTGAGCAGGTCCACAAATAAATACCACACTGATGATCATTTCAGCGTAGAGTCAAAGTGGTGGACCCTTTATTATAAAAGAGCACCCAAGGGACCAATCTCGAAGTCCAAAGCTCAGGTAATCCACAATACCAGAGTTAATGAAGCTGCCCTCTCTGTGGAGTTCATGCTGCCTTATCCCGGTGTCCCAGAATTGATCACCAGGTAGGAATAACACCGGGTTATCTTGGGTTTCAGTCACAAGACATTTCCGGTTATAGACGCCATTTTCAAATCATGTTCGTCCCACGGTCACCAACCTCGGCGTCATCTTAGACAGTGATTTTAAATTTGATAAACAGATTAACAATGTTTTAAAATCAAGTTTTTATCATTTGCGGCTTTTATCTAAAGTTAAACCTGTTTTATCTTTTAAACTATTTGAACAAGTTATGCACGCTTTTATTTCATCACGCCTGGACTACTGTAATGCACTTTATTCCGGCATTTGGCAAAACGCACTTTACCGACTACAGTTAGTCCAAAATTCTGCAGCGCGACTTTTAACAGGAACAAAAAGGAGAGAGCACATAACCCCAATCCTTGCATCTTTGCACTGGCTCCCTGTTAATTTTAGAATTGATTTTAAGATTTTATTGTTTGTTTTTAAAGCTTTGAATGGACTGGCCCCACAGTACGTCTCGGACCTCATCCAAATTTATACCCCTGCGCTCTGAGGTCCGAGGTCCAGCTCCAGCTCAGGGCCTAAGACGAGACTTAAAACCAGAGGACAGGAGCTTCTCTGTGGTCGGCCCTAAACTCTGGAACGATCTGCCGCTTCACGTTCGAGCAGCTCCCACAGTGGAGAGTTTTAAATCTCGTCTGAAGACCCACTTTTATTCTCTGGCTTTTAACACCGCGTGAGTCGTGTGGTCCTCTGTGTCTTTTATTTTTTTTTTATGTGTTTTTATTGGTTTTACTGATTTAATTTATTTATTGGTTTATTTATTTCTATTCTATGATATAGTTTTATTTTTATTTTACTGGTTTTATATTATTTTACTAGTTTTATTACTTTAAGACTAGTATTAATTTAGTAATTTACTTTATCATCTTATTGTGGTTATTTTTTATGTATTTGTGCAGCACTTTGGAAACAGTTTGTTTGTGAAATGTGCTATAGAAATAAAGTGGATTGGATTGGATTTTGAGGACTTAATGAAGTAAAACCGTTTTGTCCAGTATAAATATATTGTATAAGCGGCTCTTGAGATCAAAATATGTCAGCTCTGTAGTGTCTGCATCTAATCTAAACTGTTTTCTCTGATAATCAGGAAGTGTGTGTTAGCATGCTAATTAATATTTAGCTTTACCATCACTGCAAAACTCTGCTCTGGTCTCTGACAATTGTGAAAAGCGTTTATAAACTCATTACTGTGAATAATTAGGATGCTCAGAATGCATAAGGTAAGAGAGGATAACTTTTAAGAGTCACTTTGCGTTCCTACCCTCACCTGTGGTCATGAGCTTTGGGTAATGACCGAAAGGACGAGATTGCAGATAGAAGCGGACGAAATGAGTTTCATTCACAGGGTGACTGGGCGCTGCCTTAGAGATAGGGTGAGGAGCTTAGCCACAAAGGAGGAGCTTGTGTCCGTCCCACCGGAAGAAGGCCAGGACACGCTCGAGGGATTATGTTTCTTGGCTGGTCTGGGAACACCTTGGGGTCCCCCTGGAGGAGCTGGAGGTAGTGTTTGGTCCAAAGGAAATGTGGGAGCCCCTGCTTAGACTGCTGCCCCTGCAACCTAGCCCCGGATAAGCTGAATAAAATAGATGGATGGAATAACTCTGGACCACTGCAAACTGTTTAAAGTGAACTAGCTCTGTTTTTCACATTTGTCCATTTTTATCCAGGGCCGGGTCGTGGGGGCAGCAGTCTAAGCAGGGACCCCCAGACCTCCCTCTCCACACATACTACCTCCAGCTCCGAGGCGATCCCAGGCCAGCCGGGAGACATAGTCCCTCCAGCGTGTCCTTGGTCTTCCTCTGGGCCTTCTCCTGGTGGGACATGCCTGGAACACTTCTCCAGGGAGGCGTCCAGAAGGCAACCGGAACAGATGCCCGAGCCACCTCAAATCTGACTTCTCTCGACGTGGAAGAACAGCAGCTCTACTCCGAGCTCCTCCCGTGTGACTGAGCTCCTCGCCCTGTCTCTAAGGGAGCGCCCAGACACCCTGCGGAGGAAACTCATTTCAACCACTTGTATTCGTGATCATAAAACTTAGGTACAGCGCCATTAAACTTTGAAATTTGGTTTTAACTAGTTTAGTTTTGGCAAGTATTCAAATTTTTCGACTACAAATATGTTCATTTTTCAAGCTGTCTGTTAAAAAATATGTAAAATTTAAATTGCATTGCCAAAAAATCTCTGGTCTATGGATGGAAGCATAATATTAGCATATGCAGGGGCAAATGCATTACAATGCTCTCCTCACTGCCAGTAGTAGACAAGCTGTCAAAAATATGTTAAACCCTGGTACCTTTTCCAAAAAATCCTACTCAAAAAGGATTTAGCAAGAAACCTGTATCTTTAATGAAACAATCACCTAAGAATGAACAGCAGTGGACTAAATACTCAGTGGAAATTCTATATTTAAGTTACAGAGCCAATTATTTCTAGGTAACTTGTGCCAATGGGGTTTGAAAACTGTAGTTACCCCATCGGAGGATTCAGCTTCTATTTTCAACCTAATTTATTTTGCAACTAGGGTTGGCTGTAGACCTCTCCATTAAAAAGACCCAAATTAATCATCGCTAATTAGAAATGGCTGAATCTTAATTTTGAATAAAAAAACTTGACATTTTGCACAATCTTTCCTCAAAACCAGTTAGAAATGGAATGAAAGCAGATGAATAATAGATAATACATGAAGTTACATCTAAACTTGCCAAGATCCAGTGAACTATTTGAACTCTAGCCCTTGTAAAATCATTGGACCATTGGATCAGATATTGTTTTTCAAATATCAGTTCAGCCGATATCCTGGTTGGGCATTTAAATTGTTGTAATACGACTAGACTACAGTCGTCCCTCACCTTTCGCGGTCTCGCTGTTTTGCAGATTTTGCTTTTTTTTTAACAGCATATGAATGCACATTGTGTTCCTCCCCTGCGTCCTGATTGACTAAGGGACTGTAGACCATTGTCAATCAATCTCCTCCGTGCCGTGTCTCCTGTACAGTACTGAATGTCTTCAGCTTGACAAATTTACATAAATGTTCGATCTCTAGCAGTGTGATTATGAAGTGCTGTATGTCTACAATGTCGACGAAATGTTCTGCATCGACAAAGGCTCCTGCGGTCGCACCCAAAAGACAGAGGAAGATGCAAACCATTGCACAAAAAGTTGGACTTCTGGATACGCTGAAGGAAGGTACAAGTTACACGGCTGTAGGCGCCATTACGGAATAAATTAATCTTCAGTTCGTTACATGAAGAAGGAAGAAAATAACAAAAGGACAAGAGAAGCTATAAGTTTTAAGAAGGAGGCAAAAAGAGTTGTAACTGTCCTGGCTGGGAAAAGTGTATAAAGTGTGTGGTGAGAAGTTTTACAGCCCTAAAACATATATAATAATAAAGCTGACTACTTTGAGGATTTCACCTATTGCGGGTTATTTTTAGAACATAACCCTCACGATAAACGAGGGACAACTGTACTGCAGTACACCCAGAAATTCTCATAATGTTTGAGAGATAAATAACAGATACAGAACACATTTCATTCATTTTTGTTGCCGTTTTCGGTTTCTGCACTGGTATTGGTTGATATCGGGTATTGGCAGATACTTAAAGTCATAGAATCGGGATCGGTGTTGAGTCTGAAAAAGCTAAATAAATAAATCTTTGTGTGTTTTTGTGGTAGTGTTTTGGGGTTTGGTCTTGTCTGCTCAATTGAAAGGATCAGCAATCAACAGGAGTGGAACCAACAGAGCTGCCATCAGAAGATATTAACAGTGACACGACACAGAGGCACAGAGTCCAAACTGGTCCCACGTCATGGTGAGCAGGAGCTAAGCACACACTCGCGCTGCTGTGAGGGGACGGTCTACTCCTCCTGTGATAATCTGACACTATGACAACCAACTCTGAATGAGGTAAGAGCAGTGGTGTAGTGGGGATTTTTTATAAGTGGGGGAAGGCGATTTGTGACGTCATGAATCCTGTCCACCTGGTTTAGTCCTGGTTCAGTCCTGGTTCAGTCCTGGTTCAGTCCTGGTTCAGTCCTGGTCCCCTCATGTCTCAGGTCACTATAGGACAGTACTGCAGATATCATGAGTAGTTCTGTCAAGTGATTAAAAAATGTAGAGGTCAATTAATTATGATCTGTAATTAATTAATCTAATTAATCTCGTTTTTAATCTCACCTAAAAATTGCTGAGAAAAGCTTCAATTTGAGGTATTTTCATTTGAATTCATTATTACATTATTTTCATACTATCATTAATGTTTTTATATAAGGATCATCATTATTATTACTATTACTAATCTGCATAAACAAACTCAACTTCACAACATATAAACCATAAACACTCTAGAGCCACATAAACCCGTTTGAGATTATAATGTGTTTAATGCAGCTTTGCGCAAGTCTCAGAGAAACGAAACTTAAAACCGCATGGCTCATTTGCATAAACTAAGCAGAGAAAAAAAAAAAGCTTCTACTAAAGGACACAACTCAGTGGAACATAGATATTCTAGATGTTCTAGGTGAGTCTGTTCTGTGTCTGTGTCGTGATGTTTTCAGAGATCAGACGTGTGCAGGTTTATCACAGATGCGGGCGAGAACGGGAATGAAAATTAGGCTACAATTCTTTGCGGAAGCGAGCGGAGCAGGACTGCACAGTGCGGGACTGTGTCCTAACAACCCATAAAAACAGATTTTATAATAAGGCAACTTGCGTACAGAAACAGAAAAATTAGAGATTAAAAATAAGATTAACGCAATTAAAAAACAGAATGCCCTAAATATGACTGTAATAATTTGACACCCCTTAATCATGAGCCTATGCAGGTTATTTTCACCATTGCCAATAGCTCCGGTTTGACATTTAATTTGTAGGAATTTTTTACATTTCTTATTCTTACATACGACGCCCACTACGCTCCTGGGTAAAAGGTAACAAGTAGTGAAAAAATATATTAAAAGGTGCACAGTGTAACTTTTCTGGTGGAGGGTTCATCACCTGCTGGATTTCCTCCATGGAAATGTAATTATTTTGCCAAGAAATAAAATGTATCTATCCCCATGGAGACAAACAGCTGGTCATATCTGTAGAGGCAAATTATTTTTTCTTTTATTTATGTGTTTATTTTGGGCAAGTAAGACATCAGTGAAAAAAAAGCCCAAAAAGGAGTGGGAAGAAGAAAAAGAAGAAAACGTATTTGATCCCACCCTCGTCTTCTAATTTAACATGAGCTTTCTATTTTATTTTTCAGACATTTTACATTAAACTATATGAATTACTTACAAAGGCGGATGATGAGTAACTGTTGAAACTTGGTAACATAACTTCATCATACTGCAATAATACATAAGCATATCAACAATGTTAAGGTAGACAACAGATACAAGAAACAGGAAACAACAAGAATTATGTGTTCTCTCTCTCATTCTGAACAAGCTTTGTTGAATAAAAGAGAGATAAGTTCGATATAACACACCATAAAGTCATAGGATCTGCACGGAGACAAGCAGGTGCCAGACTCCAAACAGAGAAATAACTTATAGTGTTATTAGGGATGTAACAATAACGTAAATATTGTGATACTGTATCGTCAAAGTTCTCACAATAATATCGTGGATCATCACAATATATCGAATTACAACTGTCTTTGCTTAAATTAAGAGTTACGGTGCAGCAATAGCTAAAAAAAAAAAAAAAAGATGATCCTTTGCTCCATTTCAGTGCAGACAAGAAGAAATAACAGTTCTCAGCACTTTTAAGTCTTAGTTCTTTGGATTAAGTCTTGTCAAGGCATTTTAAGAAGAAAAAGTTGCATATTAACAGTTTTAGTTGTTTAGCCTCCACAAAATATCGGAATAAATATCATACCGTGAGATGTATATCATGAAAACATCGTACGGAGAGATTTGGATATTGTTACATCCCTAATCATGAGCCTCTCTACCATGTCGTGAACTTTCCCACGATATCGCAATAAATATTGTACCGTGAGGTTCATACCGTCACAATATCGTATCGTGAGACTTGGATATTGTTACACCCCTACTAGCTCGTAATACAAAACGAAAGTCACACACAAAAATGTTAAAACTGCACCAAACTATAACTCCAAGCTCTAATCATAATACTTATACACACACAAGAACACTCACATCTAATGGACGTAAACTATCATTCAGACATTATAAGTGTCCGAGACAGAGGCCGGCGCACGGAGCGTCACGCAGCCACATCGACTGAAGTGTCCGTGGCACGCTTGGTGTGAAAGGACGCCCTCTTGTGGTGCAACAAGGTATAACAAGGGACAACAACTCAATAATCTAAACAACACTAAATGGACTCTCTGGACAGTCTTTTATACATGTTTAGGCACTAGTTGTTTTTCCCAAGTCCAGTGTTAATGACAGTTTATGGAGTTACCTATTGATATGTCATTGCTCTGACTGGAATGTTCCACAGTATGACATTAAACAGCTCTACCTTATATTTAGTCAATTACAGATGGTTTTCTAGCTCAAAAATACCTTAAAAAATATATTCTGACTGTGAGCAGGAGCACCTCTCCAAAGATCTGACCTGTAACTTGGTCTATTTTGGTCTCCATGAAGATAGAAAGGTTAAGTATCAAACTGTGAAACACTCCAGACAAAGAAATAACATCTCCATGGAGGGACAGTCCAGAATTTTGGACATAGGACCTGATTTCCTAGTTATCCAGAGTGTTGGAGACGTGTGGAAATGAGGTCCTATGTCCAAAATTCCAGACTGTTCCTTTAAAACTGTCTTGCATTGGCTTAGGACTGACACAAAAGAGTACGTTTGGCT